CCGCTTTCCCTTGCAAAAAACAATATAAAATGACATTTCTTGTTCTAACATAACCGCATTTCAAGAATCCCTTGCAAAAAATATGGTAAAGTGGACATTCGCGCGCGCAAGAAGAAATCCTTCCAAAACCTTAGTTTTCGTAGCGATTTTAACATAAAAACATAAAAAAAACAATGGTTTTTTTTTTTCAAAAAAAACGTGTCAAAATTTCATCCCGCGCGCTCTTGCGGATTCGTAGGAAACCCAACACTTTTTAAACATTTCTGTCAAACGGGCTTTTGCGAGCAACTTTTTCGAACTTCTGCAACAACGGTTGCGCACCTGCCAGGGCCATCATCCCTGTCAAATAATACCATGCGGGACACATTCGTTTTTTCTTCGCGCGCGCACGCCGTCGTCGTCGGCCGCGGGGCCCTGAATAGTAGCCACGGTCGTCCGCATGCCACGAAGTGAAGTGTCCGAACGTCATAGGGCGGGAAGCTGGGTGTGGGTGGTGGCGAAGAGTCGTTTGGAAATTTGGTAGAGCTTGAACCGGCCCCCCCACAAAGTGGGGGTATTGCCCGCCTCCTATGAAAACCCTGGCACTGGTGAGAACGGAGTGTCCCCACGTGCTAGTAATTGTTGTTGTTGTTGTTGTTGTTGTCGCCGTCCCACCCGCGACCCGCCCCGCGACCCGCCCGCGACCCACCCCGCGACCCACCCGCGACCCACCCCGCGACCCCCGACCCCCCGCGACCCACCCCGCGACCCACCCGCGACCCACCCCGCGACCCGCCCGCGACACCCCGAGACCCCCCCTCGGCGACCCACCCGCGACCCGCCGGCAACCCACCCGCGACCCACCCGCGACCCACCCCGCGACCCACACGCGACCCACAGCGGACCCACCCGCGACCCACCGCGACCCGCCCGCGACCCACCCGCGACCGCCCCGCGACCCACCCACAATTTTTCGGCGCCTGCGGCGGGTTTTTTCTGCGTTCGTTCCAGGTGGAGAACCTGCGACCCACCCGCGACCCAAACCGCGCCCGCGACCCACCTGCGACCCACCGCGACCCACTGCGACCCACCCCGCGACCCACCCAAAATTTTCGGCGCCTTCGGCGGGTTTTTTTTTTGCATTCGTTCCAGGTGGGAAACCTGCGACCCACCCGCGACCCAAACCGCGTGCAGTGTACAGATCAATATGTTCGGCGCTTGCGGCAGGCTGTTTTCGAATTCCTCCCAGGTGGAGGTAGGGAACCCGCGACCCACCGGCGACCCAAATTACGTTCACTGAACAAAACAAAATTTGGGCGCCTGCGGCGGGTTTCTTTTTGATTCGTTCCACGTGGAGAACCTGCGACCCAAACCGCGTTCAGTGTACAAGTCAAAATTTGCGGCGCCTGCGGCGGGCTGTTTGCGAATTCCTCCCAGGTGGAAGTGGAGAGCCCGCGACCCACCCGCGACCCAAACTACGTTCATTGAACAAACCAAAACTTCGGCGCCTGCGGCGGCTTGTTTTTGCATTCGTTCCGGGTGGCCCACCAGCGATTCCCTTCGCGCTGAACTTGTAAGAGCAAGCAAATCGGCGCCTGCGGCGGGCTTGCTCGCATTGGCTTGGGACGACGACGACGACGAGTTCGAGTACGAGGACGAAGAGGAGGCCGACGACGAGGGCGAGCAGAAAAGGAGGGGGGGGCGGAGGGGGACGACGAGAAAGGAGGGAGGAGGAGGAAAAGGAGGAAGAGGAGGAGGAGGAGGAGGAGGACGAGGACGAGGAGGTGGAGGAGGAGGAGGAAGAGGAGGAGGGGGAGGGGGAGGGGGAGGGGGGGGAGGAGGGGAGGGGGGAGGAGGAGGAGGAGGAGGAGGAGGAGGAGGAGGAGAGGAGGCGGAGGAGGAGGGAGGAGGAGTAGGAAAAGGAGGAGGAGGAGGAGGAGAAGGAGGAGGACGAGGAAGAGGAGGAGGAGGAGGAATAATAATAATAAGAAGAAACAGAAGACGAATAATAAGAAGACGAATAATAATACTGATACTAAGAAGAATAATAATCATAGTAAGAATAAACAGAAGAAGAAAAAAGAAGAGGAAGAGGAGGAGGGGGAAGAGGAGGAGGAGGAGGAGGAGGAGGAGGAGGAAAACGACGACGGCGACGGAAAGGAGGAAAGGGGAGGATCGGGGGGATGGGGGAGGAAAAGGAGGAGGAGGAGGAGGAGGAGGAGGGAAAGGAAAAGGAGGAAGAGGAGGAGGTGGAGAAGGCGGAGGAGGAAGAGGAGGGCGCCATCGACAGGGAAGGTGAGGGCCACGAGGTCCGCCGGCTCCACGCCCGCGTCGCCCGCGCCCGCCCCCTCACTCTTATCGGCAATTGCGGGGTGCTACGTATTACTCCCGTTTGCAAGGTGCGCCATTTTGCGTGAAACCACAGTCGCCCCAGAGCCTCGGCGACGGGGCCGCGGCGTGGGCGCGCGCCTGACAAACCGCGGCCCGTTGGCTCCAGGTTGACGCCCGCTGGGCGCGCGCGTGACAAACCGCGGCCCGTTGGCTCCAGGTTGACGCCCGCCCCCCTCTGCGCCCAAGGAAGTGCCTTCCGCGGATGCGGGGGAAGTGGGGGGCGGGGAGGGGGGCGGGGGCGAGGCCTGTCGCCAGCATGCTATGGTCGGGCGTCGCCTCGTCCGTGCAAGGGACGGCCACGGACGTATTAGTGCAGCCTCGCTTCCATTCCGCCGGGTTGCAACTTCTCGTGGCCACCAGCCCCGCCCAGCAACATCAGTAGCCTTGAGAATTGTTGTCGCCCTCTCCTTCGGCCAGCTGATCCTCCGCTGAAGGGCGGACTTTCGTCTGGAGTGGGAACGCGCGACAGAAACCGGGGCCCATCGGCTCAAGGACTCCGACATGCTGTGCGCTGGCGTCGGCGCGCCCGCCCCGGGCTGGACGGCTCCGGTACACAATGCAACAGGATACCCGCCGTTGCGGCCGCACACGGGAGAGCGCATGCTGCTTCGGAGAAGAGGAACGAGGAGAAGCCAGGAGGGAGCGCGGCGCCATTTTGCACGAGGGATCGGGGCCTAGGGTGCGCTTATCCATATTCCATATGTTTACAATGGGTCGTGGCTTCGGGAAAGGGGGGGAGGCACGCGGCCGATTGCAGCGAAAGGTGGGGTCCTTCTTAGGGCTGCGCGCAGCTGATTGCGAGTAGTTCGGGAGGGGGCCCTTCGCTGGAGTACAGAAGCCCTCGCAGGCAGCGTCTACTACGCCTCAGCGTTCCAAGGGCCACGGTGGCGGATTAGCCTACGGAGGGAAACTTGGGGCGGATAGCGCGTTGCAGCATCGGCGTTGTGTGCTGGGTTTGCTCTCGTCCTGCTCAGTTTCCCCTTACTCTTCCTTCTCCTTTTTTTTTTAGGGGGCGTTGGGGGGGGGAAGATGGGATAATGTGCGCGGGTGAGAAAATGGAGGGGGACATGAATCAGGTTGGAGGACGACGGAGCAGGAGAGAAAGGAGGAGGGGGAGGAGAGAGGTAGACCAGATACGATATCGATGTTGATGATGATGATGATGATGATGGTGATGATGTTGGTGCATATGATGATGGTGATGATGGTGATGTTGATGATGATGGTGGTGACGATGATGACAACGATGCTATTTATGATACAAATAATAATGGTGATGATGATGGTGATGGTGATGGGGATGCTGATGATGTTGATAATGATGATTACGATGCTGCTGATGTTGACGCTCATGACTTTGATGCTGATAAAGATGATGCTGATGATGATGATGATGATGATGATGATGATGACCATGCACATCATTTTGATGGTGGTGATGATCAAGATGACGATGGTACTGATGGCGAAGACGCACATGTTGACGATGATGGTGATGGCGATGGTGATGGTGACTGTAGTGATGATGATGATGATGGTGGTGGTGGTGATGATGATCATGCTGATGAGGATGATGGTACTGGTGATGGTGATGATGATGCTGATGATGATGCTGATGCTGATAATGTTGATTATGCTGCTGATGATGATGATGATGATGATTATGATGCTGATGCTGCTGCTGTTGCTGATAATGATGGGGTTTAGGATGCTGATGATGCTATTGACGATGATGCTGCTGATGATGCTGCTGATGCTGCTGATGCTGATGCTGATGCTGAAAACTGGTGATGGCGATGCTGATGCTGATGCTAATGCTGATGCCGATGCTAATGCTGGTGATTACGATGATGGTGATAAGGATGCTGTTGCTGATGTTGATGATGAGGAGGATGCTGACGATGATGATGTTGCTGACGATGATTCTGATTACGAGGCTGATGCTGATGATGATGCTGATGGTGATGATGCTGGTGATGATGATGGTACTGATGGAGATGACGATGATGCTGATGATGATGATGGTGAGGATGATGGAGGTGATGATGATGATACTGATCCTGGTGATGATGTTGATGATGATGATGGTGCTGATGATGATGATGATGATGATGATGATGATGATGGTGGTGATGATGATGATGATGATGATGATGATGATGATGATGATGATGATGATGATGATGATGATGACTGGTGATCACGACCAGGAGGAGGTGGAGATGTAAAACCACCAGGAGGAGGAGGAGTGGCAGGAGGAGGGCGAGGAAAAGGATGACAGGGAGGCGGAGGAGGAGGAGGAGGAGGAGGACGTGAGCGCATGCCCGCCATTCTCTCATATATACTCATTTCCGCTCTATTCTCCTGGAGGGCGGATGGAGTCGAGAGGAGGAGGAGAAGTAGGAGGAGGAGGAGGACGAGCAGGACGAGGAGGAGGAGGAGCAGGACGAGACAGAGGAAGAGCAAGACGGGGAGGGATGACGAGGTCGAGGAGGCCAGAGAAGGAGCATGAGGGAACAGGGGCGAGCAGGCGGCGACAGGAGGAACCACGCGCAGGAGGGATCGGGAGCCCCAGGACAGAGAGGATGTGGGCGGCGGCGCTCCCCCATGCCGCCGCGGGGTTTCCGCAGGCTCAGTTTGCTGGCCATCGTTCCGTCGGAGAATGGCGCAGGGCTGCGAGGCACAACGCCGGGCGGCCAGGACCCGAGGAGGGGGGGCCGCAATTGGGCGACCTGTGCTGGGAGCACGACCAGCTTACCTTTCGTTCTGCCTCGAGAGTGAAAGGGGCCGACATTGAAGCAGCGTGTCAGTTGTTGGGTTAATTGTGTGTATGGGGGCAGCGTGGCATGTAGGAGGAATACGCCCCATGGAGAAGGAGAGCGAGGACGTATGTGCGTGTGGCCCTGGCGCGACGGAGGAAGAGGCCCCAGGGAGGAAGAGGACGAGGAGGGGGAGGAAGTGCGTGTTGCCTCGGCGCGAGCGACAGTTCGAGCGTCTGTGCGGGGCGCGACGCTGAACGATCGTCAGCAGAAGCGGCAGGAGCGGCAGCGACCGCACGAACGACAGAGGGGTTATACGCATCATGGGCAGGTGGGGAAGGGCACCAGCATGATGAGACGCATCAGGATGAGGATGCAGATGCGGGTGATGGTGACGATGATGCTGATGACACGTATGATGCTGATGATGAGGATGACGCTGCTGATGATGATGCTGGTAATGTTGGTGGCGATGGTGATGATGCTGATGCTGGTGTTGATGATGATCATGACGATGATGCTTATGATGCTGATGCTGCGGTTGTTGATGAGGATGAAGATGGTGATGATGACGATGATGTTGGTGGTGATGGTGGTGATGGCGATGGTGATGGTGTTGGTAATGGTGATGATGACGATGCTGATGGTGATGCTGATGCTGATGTCGACGGTGATGATGATGCTGTTGTTGAGGTTTCTATTGATGATGATGATGATGATGATGATGATGATGATGATGATGATGATGATGACGATGCACCTGATGATGATGATACTGATGCTGACGATGATGCTGATGATGCTGATGACGATGATATTGATGCAACTGATAGTTATGCTGCTGCTGCTGAAGGTGATTATGATTGTGATGATACTGATGGTGGTCCGATGACGATGACGAGGCTGATGATGCTGATGATGCTGATGATGATGTTTACGATGCTGCTGGTGATACTAATGGTGATGGGGATTATGATGATGCTGATGAGCATGATGATGATGATGCTGATGCTGATGATGATGATGATGATGATGATGATGATGATGATGGTTGTGGTCATGATTTTGTTGCTGATGAGACTGATAATGATGCTGAGTATGATGCTGATGATGATGCTGATGTTGTGAATGCTGGCGATGCTACTAATGAAGCTGTCGATGCTCATGCCAATAATGATGCCATTGCCGACGACGACGAATATTCCGATGATCATGTAGATATTGATGATGAGAAGGAGGAGGAGGAGGAGGAGGAACAGCTAGAGGAGGCGGAGATGACATGGTTCTGGGTACGTGGTTGTTTTGGACGCGCGGGCGCCCGAGTCGCCTGTCAAGGACATGACAGGAGCGCCGATATGGTATGTCGTGTTCGAGGCCTTACCCAGCTTTCTCTGGACACCAAGGGAAAGGGAGCTTGAATAGGGTTGGACTAGGTGTGGTCGGAAGGCAATAACGCATCGCCGATGCATCGGCGAATCAATGCGACCTGGAGCTCGATGTTCTTCAACCCCAACGTCCCCAAACCATCGGTGATGTATCGGTGATGTTGCGCGATTCTCCGACCCTATCTTCTCCAGCCCTGTTTGGGTGGCCTCTACCCGGGGGGGACGACGTTTGAAATAAGCAGCCCGAGCATTCCTTGGTCTCCATTACCATCGTGTTTCTGCATTCTCACGTCCAACATGTCTTGCGCCTGCGTGCTCTCTTCAGGCATCGCTTGGTATCACGTAGCCGCAGTCGTTTCCTAGGGACGGAGCGCGTCATCTTTGATCAAGTGTTGAAGCCTGGAGCGCAGGGATCCTCATATAAAAGGTCGTGCCCCCCCCTCCCCATCGCTACCCCCCTATCGCCCTATCCGCTCACCTCCCCTTAATCCCTCCCCTGCGGTCTGTTCCCTCTTCCCTCCCCCTCCCCTCCCCCTTGCTCCCCCTCCCACTCTTTCCCTCCCTCCTTGCGTTCGCCGCCCGTCGAGGAGATGACATAAGATACAGGAGGAGAGGGCAGGAGGGCGCAGGGAATAGGGGGAGGGAGGCTTGAGTTGAGACTTTAGGGGGGAAAGGCGAAGTGGGGGAGAAGGAGCGGGAGGAGAAGGAGCGGGGGGTGGTGCCTAGGGATCGAGAGGGGGGGACGGGAGGTACCACGGAGGAGGAAGAGCAGAAGGCGGAGCAGGCGCAGGAGAAAGAAGTGAAGGCTTGATGAGGAGAGCAGGAATAGGGAGAGGAAAAGGAAGCGGAGACATGAAGTATCATGATAAAGAGGAGAAGGAAGTGGCGCGTGCCAGCGTGTGTCTCGATTAGATGCCCCACCCGACCGAGCGATCTGTTTTCCGCCTCGAGAGCCCAGTCTGCCGACCGTCCCGTGCTTCGTGATTGTAATGTGGATGGTGTCCTTCCACCGCCAGATGTGCAGCACAGCTTCTGTGAGGTCCTGTGGCCATCGGAGCACTTGCTCGGCATGGGAAGCTGCGTCTCGGACGCCGCTCAGGCGCTACTTGCTACACCCCCACAGTGACAACTCGGACTGCGCCTCAGATTCTTGCTTGCTTGCACGGCTCCTCCCTTGCACACTACTCCGGCAGACCCCGGCGGCTAGCGCGCCCGCGCGCTCACTTTGGAGGCCCTGGACGGCGAGAGGACCGCTGTGCTGGACGAGCTGAGCCAGGCGGGTCCCGTCTGCTGCAGACAGGTGTGTATGCAAGCATTTGTTGTGCGTTCCGTAGGCGCCGAACCTCAAATCTCGGCCGCCGAAGCCCGAATCTCGAAGACATTCAACCTGCTAACATCTCCAATGCAGTCACAAGTGGGTGTTGCGGGATCGCCATCCCTCTGCCTCCGTCCCTCTCTCAACTCCCCTCTCCTCCCTCTGCCTCTTTCTCCGCTCCCCCCCCCATCCCTCCCCTCTCCCTCCTCCCCCCGTCCCCCCTCCCTCCTCCCTCTTCCCTTCTCACTCCTCCCGCCCCCCCCCCTCCTCCCTCCTCCCCTCCTGCTGCTGCTGCTCCGCCAGGTTTTATTTTTCTTCGGCGGGTCGACGTGCGCAGGTCCTGGGGTCCGGTCCCCCGCGCAGCCCCGAAGCTATCCGCAACTCCGCGAGGTTCCCCGCGCCTTGGTGACGCAGCCCAGGGGCTGCGCGCGAGCCACGAAGGGGGGCCTCCATGCGGGCAAGACTTGTGTCCATATCCACTGCAGCTTGGGGTTTCGGGCTCCCTTCCCCGGAAAGCCGAGAAGCACTGGATATGGATAAAAATCAGGCCCCTACTAGAGGCTCGAATTTTAGCCATCTCCCGTGCGCCTCGGCCTTGCGGCGCCGCTTCCACGCTCCAGCGCTCCAGCCTGGTGCCCGCGCGCCCTCCTGGGGCTCGGCGCCGCGAGCAGAGGCGGCGCGCCCCGACTGGACTCGGCGTTCGAGGCCGGACTCGGACGCGGAGCTCGACATCGAGATCGGATCGAATCGGAGCTCGAGATAGCCGTCGGAGTCGGCAATTGGGACTCGCCGTCGCGGCAGCAATCGGAGTCCCACGCCACAATCGTCATCGAATCGAAATCGAGATTCGAGACCGTGATCGAAAATCGGAGTCGGAACTCGAGGCTGGGATCGGGGCGCGAGGTCGAGGTCGGCACCCGAAGCCGCACTCCAAGTCGAGATCGGAGCTCGGAGCTCGAAGCCGAAGCCGAGGTCAAGGCAGGAGGGGAGGAGGGAGGAGGGAGGAAGGGAGGGGGGCAGGGCAAGCTAGGTGCGGTCGCGTCACATCTGACATCCTACCCCTCCCTCCCATCCCTTACCATGGCGCAGATCCCCTCTCTACTCGCACAGTCGGATGTCGAGCAGGGCAATGATCCCGAAAGGGTACGCGATGCATTGTAGAGCTCGGCATGGCATGGCGTAGAAGAGCACCGCGAAGCGTAGTATCAACCTAGCATTGCATTGCATGCCGTGGCATGGCACGGGAAATGACGCCAGCGCTGCAGCGGGAGCACAAGTCGGAACGAGCGGAAGCACGCCGGAATCGGCCCTGGAGGCTTCCCGGGCGCCAGAAGCAGAAATTCAGCATTTTCACAAGAAAAATGTGTATTGGAATGGCCTTTTTTCGGCGCCGCCTCGGAACTCGATTTTCCGGCGCCGGCCGGAACCGGCTCCGGACCCGGCCCGGGCGCCGGCCCGGGCGCCTGCCCGGGCGTCGGAATCGGCCCGGGAGGCATTCAGCATTTTCAAAAGGAAAATGTGTATTGGAATGGCCTTTTTTCGGCGCCGCCTCGGAACTCGATTTTCCGGCGCCGGTCCCGGCCGGAGCGCCGGCCCGGGCGCCAGCTCGGGCGTGCAGCCCAGGCGCCGGCGGAAATGATGCCAGCGCTGCAGCGGGAGCACGATTCGGAACGAGCGGGGCCCGAAAATGAGGCTGGCGCCCAAGCGAGAGCAGCATTTTGGAAACAAATGCAGGCGAAAACCCAACTCCGGGGAAACCTGTGTGTAAAAAAACAGTACGCGGGGGGGGTCGGATATTTTCAAGCCGTCATCAGGGGAAGAGGGAGAGTAGTACTCATATTGAGTAATTGTGGAGGGGGAGGGTGTGTGCGGGAGAGTTGGGTAGGGAGGGGGGAGGTAAGTAGGGCTCGAACTCCAGGCCAAGCCTGCTGCCTGGAGGCAGCCGCCGCGCCCATCCCGCCCCGGCCCCGCGGGCGACCGCTGGCACTTGCTTCTGGAAGCTCGGGAGGAGGGGGGAGGGGGGAGGAGGGGGGGGGAGGGGGGTTGGACAAGCTAGGTGCGCGCGCGTCATATCTGACGTCCTACCCCTCCCTCCCATCCCTTACCATGGCGCTGATTTTCTCTATCCGCGAACTAGTGGGTGGTGGTGCGCGTGCGGTTGGAGGAGGGGGGAGGAGGCAGGCGGGGAGGGTGGGCGGGTGAACGCAGCTTTGAAGCTCAGAAAGCATCCTCGGCGAACAAAGTTCAGCGAGGTGGCGCCCGCACACAAGATAGTGCGCCCACTGACATTCGCACCGCGGCCGCTAATGCGCCCGCTAAAATTAGCGCCGCGACCGCTAACTCGCCCGCTAGATTTCACGCCGCGACCACTCAAGCGCCCACTAAGGTATTAGATGCGAAACGCAACTGCAACATTGAAACGCAGAAAAGCGGACGCGTTAGCGGGTGCATTTGCGGGCGCAATTGGAAGACTAGCGGGCGCGAGAGTGGGCGGGCGCGCGGGGCTGCGGACGCAAAAATCATGGGGCGCATGAGGTTTACGGTGGCGCGGATCGGGCCTCGGCGAAAAATAAAAACGAGCGTCTCTTCAACCGTCTGGCCCCTGGAGGCCCGCTCAGGGCCCAGGGCCTGCGCGGGCCGACCAGCCGCGAGAAATCGCGCGCGCGCGCGCAGCGATTGGGAGCAAAAAGCAATAATTTGAAAAATACGTTTCGAATTTCTGTCGGGCGAGTCTCGAAGTGTCAGTCCCGGGGGGGGGGGGGGGGGGCGCTTCGGGCCCCGGCGCCCGCGCAGATCGGCCCGCCACGAGACGTGACATAGAAGGGTGGTGTCATGAATTCCGGCGTTTTTTACGCAGTCTTCCCCGGCGCTCCTGGGCGTTACGCCCCCCATGGCTGTCATTTTCATCGTCGACCCACCCGGAAGTATCTGCCGAAACATTTGCCGAATTGTCCGCCGATCTTTATCGTCGATGGACAGATGTTTGCGCCGCCTAGCCCTGAGCAGCTCCGACACATCAAGAAACGCGACGTCGGAGCCTGGGGCCCTCGACGGTTTTTCCCGACGTGGTTTTTCGGCACGTGCCGATCTGCGCAGCTCCCGGGGCCCGAAACGGGCCTCCGGCGGCCAAAAGTAGAAGAGTCGCCCGCCGAATTCCGCAAACCGCCCGCCGAAATTCGAGAAATCGAGATCGCCGAAGTTCGAAGTTTCGGACTTCGAGCGGTGGTGCAAACTTTTGCCCTCCGGCGGCAGCCCGTCGCGAGCCTCTGATCGGGCGCGCGCAGGAGGGGGGCTGACGCCCAAGCGGGGCTGGCCAAAGTGGCCTCAGTTTGGGCTCCGAGTAATCACCCGGGGGGGAGGCGGGGGGGTGCGCCCCTGATTTCGGAGTTCAAGGTTCGGCCCCGCTCGGTCCCGGCCCCCCTGAGACGAGCGCCCGCCCCCGCGCGGCGCCAAGAGCCCCCAGGGTAGCCCGATAGGGTCACCAGGACCCTCTCCTGATTCAACGTCCTTCTCCCATTTGCTCTCACTGTCCTCCGTCGTCGTCGTCATCGTCCTCCGCATTCCTCCTCCTACTCGCCCTCGTTCTCTTCGTCCTCGCCCTTCTGCTTCTCTTCCTCCTCGTTGTCCTCATGCCCTCCTCGCTATCCTCGCGTTCTCCATGTCGTCCTCGTCATCGCCTCCTCGTCGCCCACGCCTTTCTTTCCTTTGTTCTCCGCACAATAAGCTTATTGGACGAAAGCGGCGCTTCCCGTTCTTGTCCGATCAGGTTTATGGTGATGGATTGTAGCCACTTGTTTTCGAGCAGCAGGTGGCACATCATGGCCATTCAGATGGCACGCACTTGAGCATCACAAGGTGTTGACTTCTGGGGTCAGGCGTGAAAGACATGCGGGCGGTACTCGAGGCACTGGTGGTACCTCATTAACTGGTGGCGTCTGCGGCTCGATGGTACTCGACAAGCAAGTGACACGCTGGGCGCTGGTGGCACATGATGGTCAGGTGCCCGAGCATCACCTGGCATCTGAAGCCCAAAGGAAACGATGTCAGCACGTGAGGCCTCATCAGTGGGTGGTACTGTAGGCCAGCGCACTAGCTACACAACAGACTGGTGTCAGCCTGCCGGTGTGTGTGTGTGTGTGTGCGGCTTCCGTGCTGGTGGTACTTGGGCAGTAGTGGTTCACGGACATCGGGTGGTATGCAATAGGCAGACAGTGGGCGGGAACCGTGTTATCCCGAGCGGAGAGAGCCCAGCGCCAAGACGAGGCGCATGGTCGTCAGTGGTCAGCATTGGCGGCCACTTGCCACGCGCCGCTCTGACACGGCCAGGCAGGAGGCCGACGGCCAGAGCCGCTCCAACTGAAGCGTTCCCAGATCTTTCTCGTGGCGATGTTGGGCCCGCGGGCGCTGGGAAGCCCAAAGACAGGAGGGCTCCACAGTCGGCCAGGCCGGTCGATATCAGCAGCAAGCAGTGGCCTCACGGCACCAACACCGCCGCGTCGGCGGGTGCCGCTCATGTGCGACCCATGGAGTTTTTCTTCAAGTTGTTGCTTCGAGTAATTTGTCATCATCGTTCAGGCATTCGATGGTCGTGTTCGTGGTTGATGCTACCCTTGAGTGATTTATGTGCATGTCTACCGATTGCCACGAACAAATTCCCAGTGACTCTAGATCTGTAGACGCTTGACATCGTCCAGTGCTCCTCTCTCCAGGGCGAGGGAGCTTCGACTGCCTGCGAGCCCGTTCGCCCTCTCTACCCTAGTCCTTCTCGCTCTCTCTCTCTCTCTCTCTCTCTCTCTCTTTCCCTCTCGCGCATCGCATGATGGCGATGGTTTTATTTTGAGGATCAGGACCTGCTGGGACGACCCAGTGGACGGATCGAAACTTAGTTAGCGACGTGGGGGAGGGATGAGCGGAAAATGGGATAGGACAGGATGCCATATATGGCGCCAGCACGTCTAGCT